ACTTAGGTTTCGTATTAAATTCTAAAACAATGACAATAGAATTAACAGATAGTAAGAGTAAAGTATTTTAAAACAAACACGTTATTTATTATCAAAAATACAATACAGGGTGGGCATTAGGGACTTCGCTAGATTTTTAGGTTGTCTTGCGGCTGCTTGCCCAGCTGTTAATTATGGTTGGTTGTATACTAAAACCTTTGAAAGAGCTAAGTACTTAGCTCTAAAAAATAATAATAATAATTATAATGATTTGTGTTGGTGGGAAGAAAATATAACGACGGTAGTCAATTCAATAAAACAACATAAATATGAAATTGAAATCTATACAGATGCATCAACTACGGGTTGGGGTGCAGTCTGTAACGGTGAATCGACTGGTGGTCAATGGACTATTACGGAACGCGTTCATCACATAAACTATTTGGAATTACTAGCTGTCTATTTTGGATTAAAATCATTTGCAGATAAAAAATCTAACTGTAGTATCCTTTTACGGGTGGATAATACCTCCGCTATTGCTTATGTGAATCGCATGGGCGGGTTACAATACCCGCACTTAAATTATGTTTCAAATATGATATGGAAATGGTGTGAAGGAGTTTATTCGTATGTGCTTCCTGCATTAAATCTTCTTTAAACTTTGAAGCAGACGCAGAATCGAGAAAACTTAATTTGGATACTGAATGAGAAATAGGATCGCATGTATTTGCAGAAATAAAAAGAAAACTTGGAATTCCTGATATAGACCTCTTTGCCTCTAGGATAAATGCCAAATGTCCAAAAAACATTTCCTGGAAAAGAGACCCATACGCACATAAAAGGGGAGTTTCAACAACAGCTCTGGAAATCGTCCTTTCTTCGATATCACTGAAAACCAATTCAATATTCTTCAAGTCTTAAGCTGTGGTGGTTATTTTGCAGCCAGCAAAATTATGATTTTTATAATGTAGAGGTTAGTAATTTATTGGAATTTCTTACGCAACGTTTCCAGCTATATCATTTATTTCAACTAATAGCATAGGTCAGCATGATATAATCAAAAGATTTCTCAAAGGGGTTTTCAAAATAAAACCGGTTTTTCCTCGATATACTGTTACATGGGATCCAAGAATTGTTTTCAATTATTTGGCCAATTTAGATAACAATTCAATTTCTAATAAAGAGCTTAGTAAAAAAGTAACTATGTTGTTAGCACTAGCATCTGGACAAAGAACACAGACCTTATCTCTGATTAGAATCTCGAATATAAAACAGTATAACAACAGAATAGTTATAATTATATCCGATTTGATTAAAACTTCGGGGGTAGGCCGGGCTCAGCCTGTTCTTAACTTACCTTTCTTTACACAAAGGCCTCGTGTTTGTCCAGACTTTGAATACTTATATGTATATCTGCTACCACATCAATTAAACCGCAAGATGATGATCGTTTAATTATTTCATATAAAAAACCATATAGAACAGTCTCGTCCCAGACTATTGGACGCTAGTTGAAGCAAACACTACAACAAAGTGGTATTGATACATCAATATTCAAAGCCCACAGCACCCGTCATGCTTCCACTTCAGCAGCATGCCAGGCTGGTGTTAGTGTAGATGTGATTAGACGGACTGCTGGCTGGACTAATCAGTCGGCAGTCTTTGCAAACTTTTATAATAGACCAATCGTTGACACTGATTCATCACTAATTACTTAATAAAAATTATATTGTGATATTAATTAAGCAAGACATTTTTGTTAAAATAAAGACTGATTCTCAATTCATTAATGATCTGAATTTATTTACTCTCAACATTAGTTGATCTCTAAACATCTACATAGTTAAATAAATCTCGAGGACGAAGTCAGGATAATTAATTGATCAAACGAACTTACCTGAAGTGAAGTTCGATCTTGATTATCCTGTCTTCGTCGGAGAGATTTAAGATCCCACCCATCCCTTTATACCCAAGTTCAATGTTGCGTCGTATCGTGTTGCTCTAAAATAATGAAGCGACGCGGGTGTCAGGTTGGGAAGACAGTGGGGAAAAGGACGCAACATTGTTTCTGTCACTTTCTACCGTATTTTATGACGTAGTTATGACGTAGCAGACTACTACATAGTTGAATAAATCTCTCCGACGAAGACAGAATAATCAAGATCGAACTTCACTTCAGGTAAGTTCGTTTGATTATTTAAAAATCACCATTTTGTAGAAATAAAATCTATTAATTAATTCAGTTAATTCTAGATCCTTTAAGAGGCGTTCGTTATTGTAGATTGGTCATTTCATCAACCAACCCTTAGTCCAGATTCGGCGTTTTCGTTTTTGCCGTTTCGCTACAATTAAACACACGATAGCTGCAGCTAAATCTTTATCAGACATGGTGCACTTAAGAAAGTAATGACGAGAATGCTTGTTCAATTTTATTGTACCGTGTGGATTTCGGAGCTCATCAATCATATTGTGCAATCATCAACATTGCGCAATATTATTGTAGGTGTATGGGTCGCCTTAAAGTGTATGTGGGCGTCACACACCCCACCTCGTACGGGTCGTTGACAAAAAATTAAGCATTCTATTTGATGTTTTTTGCCTTTATGTGTATAATTTATGTATGTTCAGCATTTTAAATGGATTTTTATTTATTACAGATTTATAGTTACATGAAAAATTACCCACGTGAAATATGATGATATTATAAAAGCACTTTTGGACGAAGGAGATGACTTGGAAGTTGTATCCGGGAGTTCAGAACCGGGCTCTGAAGTAGAACCAGAACACTTGAATGTTCATAGTGATACAAACAGCGAAGTGGATGCCGAAATTCTTTCTTCCGAGTTTGAGAGCAACGACGAAGTAATTCTACTGGCAAAGATAAGACAAAAAAGTGGCAAAAAGAACCATTCAGAAGCAATGTTCGTAGTAGAGCAGAAAATATTATTACTTATTTGCCTAGTGTGAAAACAGCTGCAAGGGGTAATTGGTTCACTAGCTATGAAAGAGTAAGTTGTCACCTCTTGAGAGTTTTGAAGTATTCATTTCCAATGCTATGACAGATGAAATTGTGAATTGCACTAATGAGAAAATACTCTCCCCAGCAACTGGTGATCCTCAACAGTCACAAACTACAAAGGAGGAAATAAAAGCCCTTTACGGTTTACTTTTACTATCAGCTCGTTCTGGACGTCAAAGTACAATTGATTTATGGGCTACTGATGGGACAGGAATGGATATCTTTAGAGACACAATGAGTAGAAATAGATTTACTTTCTAACTGAATAATTTGAGGTTTGATAGCGCGGCAACACGAAACGTGAGATTGAAGACTGATAAACAAGCTCCAATAACAAATATTTTTGAAAACTTTATAAAAAACAGTCAAGATGCTGACATTCCGTTCAGAAACCTAACATTAGATGAAGAATTGGTTGCTTTCAGAGGTCGATGTGGATTCCTCCAGTATATTTCGTCAAAAGCAGCAAAGAACGGAATAAAAATTTATTCTTTAGTTGACAATAAAATATATTATACTTTGAATATGGAAATATACTGAAGAAAGCAACCCGAAAAAAGCCCTTTTTCTATCAGCAACAAGCCTTACGATATGGTCGATCGTCTAGTCCAATGTGTATCTCAGTCTTCTCCGAACATTAAATGGATAATTTCTTCACTAGCTATGAAAGCACAGAAAATTTGCTCCAAAACCATAAGCTCACTGTTGTCGGAACTTTGCGTGCCAATAAGACGTGTATTCCTCCAGTTTTCAAGAAAAATCTTGAAGTATACATCTCTATTTAAATTTCAAAAGAATAAAACGTTTTTATCAAACGTAAGATGGTATATCTGATGTCGACACTGCACCATGACTGAGAAATAGATTCGGAAACCAGAAATCGGCAAAAATCTGCAGTGATAACGTTTTATAATAAGATCAAAAGTGGCGTAGATGTGGTGGATAAATTATGTCGAAGTTACGTTTTCAGAAATTCTAAACGATTGCCGCTAAATTTATGTTAAATTATAAGGAAATATACTGTAGTTTGTTAATTAAACATGATTCTAATAATTAAACGTGCCATTTAAAATAAGTATACAAGAAAGTAACTGTTATGATAAGTGAATTACAACAGTTGTTTTTTTGTTTTTTTTTTATAAAAATAAATGTGTTATTACATACTTTTAAACCGGTCTTTAACTTAAACCTAATCATTACAGTGTGTTTATAAATACCTAATAATAAAATTCGCGAAAAACGTATAAAATTTATCAATTTTACCATTTTTTTATTTGGGGTATGTCACACCCGGGTCGATTTCAAACGAACAGACAAATTACTTCATACTTATATGTTGTTATTCTCCAGTTTTTTTTTTCATTGAATCCGTAAGTTATTTCGTTATGTGTTACAAGAACAAATATTACAAATACATGCTTAAATTTCGAAATAATAATAAAAACAGGTCTACTTTTTCATTCGTGGCGCCGGATACTTTCAGGATTTTTAAACAAAACATATATTTAAAAATGTATTTATAGGTGAAATCGTATTTTTTTGTTTTCCCAAAATTATAATACTGCCAGGTAGCAACTATCGTTTTATTAATGAAAGTGTAGAAATATAATTTCTTAGGGTTTAAAAGTGCGACAACTTTTATTCACTCATTAGTGTCGATCGTAAAACACTTTTCATAACTGAATCCTATCTTCGTTAATATCGCTCCCTCCCCTCTGCACAACCCAGTCCGGCCCATGTCGCACCAAGTACTTCAACGGGACAGAGCGCGTGCGCTTAATTTTGTTTGAATTTCAGCGTTGAAGACAAAAAAATATCATTCGTGTTTGTAACACTGTTCCAAAAAGTGCTTTAACTGGAAATAATTGTTTGCGTATTGATTAACTACAAATTATAACACGGATTTTGTTTAACTTTCCGTTAGCATCTGGAACATTCCATTAAGCTAAAAATTAAATATTTCGTTCAAAATATCATTCGTGTCGATTTTCAAGTAACACTAATGAAATAAAATTCTACATGAATGATATCTATATCTCGTGGCTAATTTTATAAACATGTAACAGAGTCTAATGACTTTTTTTATTAAGTATATTATGTGTTAGGTTATTCCGTTAATTAAATTATTGAAGTTAATGTATTTTTTTTTGTTTTTAGCCAATCACTGTGTTTGTAATAAGTATGTATCACTTATTGTGTACGGCATACACAGTTTAGAGAGGTTTTTATAATTGTTATCCTCTAAAGCTGTCTCAATGCCAATAGTTGGTTTTGTTTATATTTTAAATCCGACATTAACATGATGATCTATTTCATTCCTAATAGCTTACTTGTTGCTTGCTTTAGATTATCATGGCGAAAGAGAAAAGCAAGAATAGTGAAGAGGAGTTACAAAAGAGACGAATAGCAAGGAGAGAAAGATACAAAAAACTAAAAAGTGACCCAGAAAAATATGCCATTGAGAAAGCTAAAAAGAAGGAAGCTTACATGAAACGAAAACGCGAGAAAAAAGTCAAGAGTATCAATGAAATGTCTCCAAGAGAGCAAAGAGCACAAAGGAAGCGTTGGAAAGAAAATTCTAAACGGTACCAGATGAAGAAAACTAAAGAACGAAAGATGCAAGAAGTAACTGTTTCACAGATAAATGAAGCTGTTGAGGAAAGAGATGCTGATGACGATTCCAATGATCCGTTGAGCACAACATACATAACAGCAGAAAACAAAGATAGCAAAGTGAAAAGATTACAGAATAGGATTAAAACATTAAAGTTGAAATATTACACAGAAAAAAGGGAAATGACTTTGCTCATAAAAAAATATCAGAACAGATGCCAAATTTTGACAAATAAAATTAATAAATTGGAAAAAAGGGGTCAAACCAAAGAACAAGCTGGTCTTTCTATCTCTTCTTTCTTTAAAAAACGCAAATCCAATGTAGATCTTCGTAAAAAGTGCTTGAATACCATGCTTCAGAAGAAAATTCAACAAGGAGGTGAATGTGTCCAAAAATTAGTTACGGAGTTTTATGAAGACGATATAAATAGTCGCGTTGGTGCTGGTAAGAAACAGACTATAAAAAAAACGGATTACTGAAACACAAACGATTTCTGCTAGATTCAGTTAAGAATCTGCACAATTTTTTTTGTGCAGATTCTTAACTGAATCCAAACATACGTATTAGTTACGTAACCTTTTCAAGATTACGCCCATTTTGGGTATATTTGCCACGAGATGATAGAGAAACTTGCGCATGTTTGTTACATGTAAACATGGATTTGATTATTTTGGCGTTGAAAAATAAGAAAATTGTGGACATTGCGAATTTTATCCATAAAATTCGCAATGTCCACAATTTTCTCCACAATGCTGGATATTATTTGTTGCGACAAGTATAATTCAAAGTGTGTTTCTAGTAATTGTCAAACCTGCAAAAATAGACCTATACCATATAAAGAATTTAGTAATTTGGAAGAAATTGAGTATCATGAATGGTGCAGAGATAAAAAGAAAGTGGGCTCTTCAGAAATAAACATAGTGAAAAAATTTAGTATAAAAATTAAACCTAAAGATCTTATTCAAAAATTCGAGCAGAAACTACCGAAGTTCCTTGTTCATACCGCGAACATCCTCAATCAATACCAAAATATTAACCATTTGAAACAAACTTTAAATCCTAACGAAGTGCTGCTACACATGGATTTCTCGGAGAACTACATTTACAAATTTGGCAAAAAGATACAGAGCTTACATTTCGGGGGTAGTCGAGGTCAGGTCTCTCTTCATACGGTAGTGATATATATGAAAGAAAGACGAGAAACATTATTCTCTATGCACGGTCAGCGAAAACACACGGCATGATGCACCAGCAGTCTGGGCGCACCTAAAAAGAGCTTTAGAATTTGCATTTGAAAAATGTTCAGACATAAACACTGTACACATTTTAACTGATAGTCCGACGGCTCAGTACAGAAATAAACACATATTTTATTTAATGACTCAACTTTCCAATGACTTTCCGTCTTTAAAATTAGTAACAAGGAATTATCAGGAAGCTGGCCACGGTAAAGGCGCGCCAGATGGCATCGGGGCAGTAGTTAAGAGGACTGCCGATTATCAGGTTAAGTGTGGACGTGACGTAGGAAACATCGCAACTTTTGTTGAAATAATTCGCGAAAATGTAAAAAATATGAAGATAAGAGTGGTAGAGGAACACGAAATTTTAGAGAAGCATATTTGTCTTCCACATGACATATCACCTTTTAAGGGCACTATGTTAGTACACCAAGTAATCTGGAACTCTAAATCCGAATTCCTGGAGTTTAGAAAGTTAAGCTGTTTCTTGTGTACGAACAAAATCTGCACACATGACAATAAACATATGCAACTACATAAAATGTATAAGAGTGTAACTAATGCTACTGTCGAAAATGTTAAGGTTGTTCCACCTGGTAAACGGATCACAATATTGAGCGATATCACTCAGTATTCTGACCAACACAGTCCATCGACTTCTGCTACTATTAAGAAGAGCATTCGTAAAACTGTTAAATACCTTAGGTCTGTTAAAGGAACCTGGGAAAATCAAATGTTTATAGGTACGGAACAAGGGGTTCAATATGATCATCAAGATGAATTCCTACATTTTCTTTATAAAAAATAGCTTTAAAAAGACTGTTGATTATGTGATTAAGTAAGTTATAATGTCAAAGTTATGATAAACAATTCGACACCTGCAAGGAAGAACATCGTAACTCACTTTTAGGTGGTATTGACTTACAATGACATTCTTATTCAGCAAAAAATATGAATTTTTTCACTACTTGGACCCTTGTATCTAAATTCATTATAATAAAAAATCTGCACAGATTAAAAACATTGTAAGTGGAGGTCCACTGAAGTTACTTAAATCGTATATTCAGGTACATGCTATTTTCATTGACTAATATTATTATCTTACATTAATAAAATTGTAATACTAGATACAATCACGTACTTTAAATTTTCCGCGTCATATTATAATTTTATCTTTAATTACAATCTTATTTTTGGAAAGATCTATTCGAATTATAGATAGATTTCATCGTAACGCGAGATACAATGCTTTCATTCTAAAAAAAATCCCATAATATTCAGTTCAACATTGTAACATGACATACAATTGTTTTCTTCGTAATATTTTGCATGCTGGGTGCATAATATGCCTATTTAAGTCATACTTAGACCGCATTTTCACCTGCAAGATAACTTCCGCGAGAAATGTCCGAAAGTCTGTCTGACAGGAGCTTGCAAGTGTAAACCCCGTAGCAAGTGCTGTCGCGACAGTTTGTCAAGCGCTTCCTGCGAGTACTTGCGAAAACATTTCTAAACATGTACGCGTCGACTCGCGACAGATCTCTCTGCTTATCAGTTCTAGTTTCGTATATCTCGCAGCAAGTATCGCACGCACGGGTTTTGTTTTTCTTTGAGAAGAATGAGTCAACGACAAAGTCGTGAATGGTCGCGTGAAGAAACTATAAAGTTAATAGGATTTTATGAGTGTAATCCTTGTTTGTGGGACAACCGGCATGCGGATTACAAAAACCGAATAAAAAAAAGCTCTGTACTCAATTCCATCGCACAAGAATTCTCCACAACTGAGAATTTTTCGATTGTGCAGTTTTCGGGAACTGCACAATTTAAGAAGTCAATGGCAGAATGAATTAAAGAAATTAAAGATCAAGAAGAGTGGAAGTGGCCAAGATGATCTTTATAAATCTAATTGGGGTTATTTCGAGTCTCTTAAGTTTTTGGATATGGGCAGCGCACCCAGTACTGATGCCTTGGTAAGTACCTACCTATAGATATGGGTATTTATTTAATATTCTAAATGAAACAATATGGACCGTTTATATTAAAGTATAGCATTATTAATGCAAATTTAATCAAATATAATAATGAAACAATATTTATACTGATTCGTATATTTACTTATTATTAATAGTTTAAGTTTTACATACTGATAATTAAATATGCTGATATTACCATGGTATTTCACCTTCCCGAGAAATAAAATAATCTTTGGATGCTTCACGAATTTGCTGGGCTACATTTCCTGAGTTATTTTCAGGTCAGTTATATATTCAGGTACACATTCGCTGTCATTTGTATTTTCAATGTAACGCTGACGTGTCGACTCAATTAGAATACAGGATTCTCTATGCCTGTACGCATGTAAACACAACATATCTCAATTGTCTCCTGAAGAATGGCTGCAGCTTAAAAAAATTGTAACTATACTTCAACATTTTGAAGAAATTACCCGAAATATGAGTGACAATGACACAGTATCTCATCAGTAATTCCACTTATACACACACTAAAGTATACATTATACACTGAAGGCAGTAAACAAGACACAAATGAAAAATTTAAAAGTATAATAAAATGTACTGTCGATCAATTAAATTCCAAATTTGGTGACCTTCAATCAAACAATTTTTTTGCAATAGCAACATATCTAGATCCTCGCTATAAAACAAAATTTTTTGATGAAGTGGTTAAAGAGAAGATTGAAACAGAAATAATGTCACTATTTGATGCAGATACATCTAAAAACGAGGCTGATAATATTGCCGTTCCTGTAGAAAAACGGACAATAATGGAATTACCAGCAGAAGATAGCCATAGTAATGTCCAAAGAGTTTTGTCGAATATATTATTAAGTAGCGATGAAGACGATGACAATACCACATCTGAAAAATGTGCAGTTTTTGACAAATTTGTTGTAATGAAAAGTATACTAAATGAGTTCAATAAAGAAAAACGTATAAGTATTAGTGATGATCCGTTATTGTGATGGAAAGTAAATGGAAATACAAAATTCCAGCCCTTCCAATCAATTGCTCGCCAATATTTGGCGTGTCCACCAGACTCGGTAGCGAGCGAACAACTTTTTAGTGGCGCTGGCCTAATCTATGACTCACTAAGAAATAGATTGGATGGAGACAAAGCTTCAAAACTTTTGTTCGTAAAGTATAATACACTACTTTTAGAGTCAATTCATTTGATTTAATTTGTTTTAAAGCTTTTGTTCATTTAATATAATGTAATATACTACTTTGGGTTTAAATTCACTTATTTTAATTACTTGTTTATTTGGAAATATGCCAATTTTTTAAATTGTTTGTGTATTATTTTATAATTGAAAATTAAAATGAAATTTTTTTGACTAAATAATGTTTTATTTGTCCTTAAATAAAAATTCTCTCTCATGCCACCACTTTTGATCCTTCCTCCGACTCCGATAAGGCAAATTTTAAAACTCCGACTCCGCCTTCGGTTCCGATAAAACTACCTCCGTTACAGAATATGTTAGCTCAGTGCTTAGGAGCTTTAGTAGTGCAGGCAATAAAAAACTTCGTCGAATCATACAAAAAGCTATTGTTGATATTCAAGATAAGGAGGAAGGTATATATCCTCACGTGGAAGTTCAACTCAGTCAACTTATTCAATCCTTCCAATTTATTCTCCGATGTCTACATTTTCTGAAAATGACGTAATCATCAGTGCTAATCAAGAAAACACCGCTGTCGAAGACCAACCTTTTGATCTCAGCATCTTGTAGTTGATTTATTATAATAATAAATTAGTTTTCAGTAATATATACCTATTGTACTTACTTTTAAATATTCCTCATGCAGAGTATCGTATAACGCCTTGCATACTTCCGGAACAATTTTTGATATAGTGCATACAGGAATCCTAAATAAATACATTAATGAATGGTATGAGTCTCCTGAAAAAGAAACAGAAATGATAATTAAAAAGTCTACCGACTACATAATATTACTAATCGCATGTAATATGTATTATTAAATTATTTATATTCACCAGATGCTAAAAATCGCAGTGTTAAGAAGACTCTTTCCTTCGGTGATATCGAATCTCTGAAATGTGTGTCTTGTTTTTTTATAATGTGACCAACTTTTACTAATAACGCTTCTAAATCGACTGCGGTCATACGAATAACATTGAAATACTGCTGTCCATATTCCAGTTGTAATTCGCGTAGTAAATTATGGTAAGCACCAGCTTCTCGTCTCCTAGAAATCCATTCTCGAACCCAAATTGATCTTTTTTTCCTTTTCAACAACAAAATAGTTAATGCAATTGCTACACGTGTGCGTCTTGATGTCATGATCTCAGAGTATAGAATGAATAGAGTAAATTGCGATAGTTCTGATAGCGACACACGTAAGCTTTTTATGTGTAAATACCTGCGCGATAAGTTGCGACAGTATGAACCGCGAGCTTCTTACACGACAATGATTGCAGAAATAAATTGCAGGAAATGTAAACGATACAGCAAGGAACTTCTGCAAGACTTTCGCGAGTTCGCTTGCAGGTGAAAACGCGGCCTTACAATGTTTTCACTCCCCGAGTCTTTGCGGAGAACAGGTTTCGACGTGATTAGTTTTGTGCGAGTTACTGATAGATATTGTTCGTTTTAATTTATTTTATTTTAAAACAGTGCCAAACGCAAAACTTCGTGTTTAATATGTGTCGCCGCAGTAAGATAATTGAGTTGGCTTTAGCTAAAAGTGAAATAACTAACAGCAATGCTGGTAAGTAGGCAATGTTTCTTTTTATTATGCAAACTTTCATATGTTGCACACTGTAGATTAATAAAGAACCAAAAACTCACTGTTTCGTTTTCAGAGGAAAACACAACAAGTCACAATGACAGAGTCGTTCCGGTGAATGAACAATTAATGTTGAACATGCCACCAGTTTTTGTAGAAACAGGTACCTATATTCCCTTTTTAACTGCGTTGTAGTTCGTGGACTAATTTAAATGCATAAGTTTGTTCTAAACATAATGCAATGATGATAATTTTGGTTTAATTTCTAGGTGATGAGTTGTTAAATTTTAAATATAACCTCCGACAACGTACTCCGGTGAAAATACAGAACAATCTCTCAATATTTAATGGAACAGAAGAGGTTTACTCACCAGTAGTTTCGGAATACCTACCGCCTATAGAAAACGGTAAGATAATATGATATACCTATCTACGTCCTTAAATTGTTTTCTATCTTATTACTGTACAGAGGGTAAATTAAAGCTTACTCGAAAAGGAGGTCTACGTCAGAAAAAACGTAAAACTATTACCTTATATGCTAATTTTGTTCGTAGGCTCTTCAGTTTTAACACCAGATGCTGATACAGAATCATTAAAAGAGCAAGATATAGAAAATTATAAAAATCACGAAATCGAGGATGCTTTGCAGGAAACAGGTAAAATTTCTATACTATTTGACTTTAATGAAACTATTTTATAACTTATTGATTATAAATTTCATATTATTATTTAATTTTTATACAAGTTCAAAACGTAAAAGAGCATTATATACTGCTGGTCGAGGGACAGCCTACCGCGTCAACATACCAAAATTCTTTTTTATCACCTAATGCCGTCATAGAACTAGTTGAAGAAAACGTTGAAGAAAATTGCAGAAATGAACAATACAAAATGATTTACAGGAAAATGGTATGTTAATTTTTTTTATATGCACAACGGAGAAGTGTTTGACCTTCATCTCACCTGATGTTAAGTGACGATAAGGCCGAAGATGGAAGCGCACTTCACCCGGAATCCTCTACAACTGAGGAACTGGCTATCTTATCTGTAACTGCCGGAATACAACAATGCTGTTAACATTGTTGCTATGACGGCAGACTTAGATAAGGTGGTGGTAGCTAGCCAGGCGGACTTAGAAAAGTCCTACCACCAACCAAACCGAGTACAAATTTGTACCCCCTGGGAATCGAACCCGAGACCTCTCGGTCGAAACCTGACGGCTTAACCGTTAGACCACAGAGGCGGTTGAAAATAATTTAATTTATTGACTGCTGCTACGTATTGTAGAATTTTTGAGTATATCTAGCTATGTTACAGAATTTAAATAAAAATTTAAGAACATTCATAATATTGTTTATTAATAATATTGTTTATTTAATAATAATATTGTTTATTTTTGTTTATTGTCTGCATACTAAATCCTTTGTGTGTAGTTCAACAGTATATTTACTGTCATATGCGTGATCAGCTAACAGCACTGTAAATTGCTTAATTTGAATTAATTTACTTATATTTTTCAGTTCTACCGGTTTTAATACAAAACACTGATACCGAATCAATTAATAAACAAGCTGTGCAAAATGTAACAGAATTTTTTTAGAAGCAAGTTGACGGAACATTTAGGAATGAACACAACAATATATTACAAGAAATTGGTAAGTTTGTCTATTTAATTGCTATGTGACATAGATAAAAAAATGTTTATTATTAAAATTTCAGAAAATGACTCTCATTTCTCTTTTTGATATTACAGAACTAAACGTAGTTCAAATAGAGATGAAAACTTTACCAAAGATTCTGCACAAGCTACTACTTGAACAAATAATAAAAAGAAAAGATATCCGAAAAAAAATACGCCAGGAAGGAAAAGAGTTACGAATAGAGCAAATTGGAAAAATTCTATTTGTAAAATGAAGAAGAATTTAGGTGAAGAATTTGTTAATAAAAACGGACAGTTAATTGCAAAAAAAGAGATAAAGCCGAGCTGTGATAATAAGTGTTCACGTAAGTGTCGTGAGTCTATTACAGAAGACCAAAGGTATTCACTGTTCACAGAGTTTTGGGAATTGGGCGATCACAATAAACAAGTGGAATATATAAGTCGATTTGTAAAAAGAGTTGGAAAAAAGCTAGTAACCGTTCGCACAGCTGCCACAAGTCGGCGTAAATGGTCTTTTGAGTATTACTTGTTTATAGATGGCAAAGAAGTTCGAACATGCAAAACAATGTTTTTAAATACTTTTTCCATAAGCGACATGTGGTTGCAAACTTTTTTTTAAAAAGTTGATAATTCTTCTTTAGGTTCTATTTCCGACGACAAGCGACGTCGCCATGGTACACGAAAAAATGCGATACCGGACCAGGTAAAAGAATCCATCCGGAACCACATTTCACAAATGCTAATAAACATGTTGTGAGGGCATTGAAGGATTTTGATAAACGCCGGGCTGAACAATCGGATACTGTTGTAGCCGCTTGTTACGATTTGCAAAAAGTATTGAATACCCCACAATCAGAAGTATCACTTTTTTATTACAAAAGAAAACTAGCTACCTACAATTTCACCATATTTGATATGGGCAAACGTAAGGGGTATTGTTACGTATGGGACGAGACTATCGGACGTAAAGGTTCTAACGAAATAAGTAGTTGTGTATTTGATTTCATAAAGACCAAGGTTGAGGAAGGGTACAAGGAGTTCAATTTTTATTCTGATAGTTGCGGCGGTCAGAATAAAAACAGGACAGTTTTTGCAATGTATGCATATGCTACTAAAATATTCAACATTAATATACATCATCACTTTTTTGAAGTTGGCCATTCCCAGTCAGAGGGTGATGCTATGCATGCACTTATAGAGCGCCGAAAGAAAAAAAAAATTATTTACATTCCTCAGCAATGGGTGACATTAATCAGATGCGCCAAATCCAATGGCGAACCTTATGTGGTCCAAGAAGTAAACCAAAGCATGATATTAGATATGAAACAGCTATTGTCTTATTATAATAACTGGGATAAAGACCTAAATTATACAAAAGTTTCTTTGAGTAAAATAATGCATATTCATTTTAGTCGTGATTTACCGCATATTATTAAATTTCAATATGATTCGCTAAGTGATTATGACTATAGATTTGCTGCAGCAGAAAACTGTTGCGCTTCGAGCATCAAAACGAAGATGTATTAAAGAGATTCAAAGTGATTGTATAAAAGAATTGGCTAAGACTATTGCAAAGGCTTATAGTGCACCTATGCCTATAACATTGGCGAAATTTAAAGATCTAATTTGATTTCATTGGTAGCGCTATTTGAACGGGGAAAACCACTCCGATTCATTAGTTTATATATGATTATATTAATGAAAATAAAGACTGCTAATTAATAAAGTAAATTTTAATTTCTAATTGTATTTCTAAAATACATACTTATACAATTTAAAAGTTGTATCTCAGACATACAATTATTTCATTTAAAAAATCTAACAATTTCTTACAATAAATGATTGTATGTCTGAGTTACAATGTCATTGAAAAAATAAAAAGTTCATGAATTTTACTGTAACTTGCAAAAACATACAAATTTATCGTTCAATAAATAAATTTAAGACGTGATAATGCTACAATAGCTTAGGTTTAGCCGTTTATTCTTAGATTCTTAAGATCGAGTAGCATAAGGCCTTATCCAAAATTTGTAAGAATTTTTTTAAACTTTGAGGCGCTCTCCTGTAAAGCGTCCCAAACTGAGTTGCGATTTTCTTCCTTGCAGGTGTCGAATTATGAAGCAATTTAAATACTAGACTATATAATTAAAAAGTTCGATTATATCTAAATTAAAGATTACTTTTCTTAATAAAAAATAATTTAGAAAAGACTGTTGATTATGTGATTAAGTAAGTTATAATGTCAAAGTTATGATAAACAATTAGGTATGAAGCAATTTAAATACCAATGACTATATAATTAAAAAGTTAAGATAATATCTAAATTAAAGATTACTATAATGATTGATTTTGGCATAACCGAATTGTAAGATTTATAATTTGAAATATATATTAATTTTTGTCACCTTTCTATATTTTCAGTGTGTAATCGTACAATCTTGCAAAGTCAAAAAGACTAATCGTATTACTTTTTGAAGATTTAATTACATTTTACCATTTATTGTTAATTTAATAATTATTAAAATCTAAGATCGAAAGTGTAAGTTTTGATAATTTTATTAAAAGAGTTGAGGTATTTTAGGTACTTATATCAATCCTAATCATTATTTTAATAGTTTTGAACTGAATTTTTTTAGTCTTCTCGTGTTAAGCAAAGAAATTTGAAAGAGAACAATCGAGGCCGTCAGTTGTGAAAAAAACGCAAGTTTACCAAAATCAATAAAAAAGTGTCATAAAAATTCGATGCGTGAAATCGACCCACCCCACCTAGTATGGGACGAGACTTTTAGTCACCTGGTGCACGGAGGGTTAAATAAGTATTGTTTACATTATGCATTAATAGGTAAGATTGAAAATGTTAGAAGGCTATGTTGTAGTGCGACCCGAACTTTTAATACTTTTGGGTGATCAAATTTACCACTGATTTTTAATATGAATTAAAAATGTACATGTTAGCAATTTACGATTTCTACCTACGTACGCCAACGAAAAGTTTGTGCTTTATATAACTAAAATTATAGCACTAATTTTGGACATTTTGGGGATTGCATTCTCCCTGCCAAATATACTACATTTTTAAAACTTACTTTCAGGAAAATCAGAGAGTACAGTGAGGCGTATTGTAGATGAAAGCTATAAAAATGGTGGCAATTTTGAAACACCTGGGAAACATAGATCAGGTTGTCCTAAGAAAGAAATGAAAAAGTTCAACATTTGTGCACTTCTACAAAAGATTCAGTTCTTATAGTATGTGAAAAAAGAGGTACCTACTTTAAGAAAACTTCAGTTGATTGCCAAAACCTTGGATTGGGTTTTCTTACAAGAAATGTCAAAATAACAGAAAAGCTTTAATAGAACAAGCACACAATGCACCAAAACGAGAAGACTACTTGGCAATTATAAAAAATAGAGCCTGAATAATTGCGAAAAGATATAATTTATCTTGACGAAAGCTACGTTAACTCTTCATATAAGGTAAAATCTTTGTTTTTGTTCATCTTCATTTAAGGTAAGGTCACCAAATAAGGCCTATGTCCTAATAAGGCCTATTTTTCAAATTTCCCGCTTCACGATTTCAAATGGCCGCCGATGTTTATAGATGTGTGCGTATACATTAACTAACGCACACAAGCGCTGCAAGCGGCTCATGCCGCGAGCGTGTTCTAACCTGTAGTCGAAAACAACCACGACGCGGAGCGCACGCTTGTTTTTATAAAATTCTGGCAGAGTAAACAGTAAGTGTTTTTATTTTTATTCGTACATGCTGTGTTTTGTCTATAGGATAATTATAAGTTTAGCCATCTCCTCATATAAGTGAAAAAGCTGTAATATCGATGTATTCCATACAATTGTTGTTTTGTTTACCCATGTGCCATGCCCTAATAAAGCCTATAAAAAAATGTATAGGCCTTATTAGGACAATGTTTTATGTCAGTTAGAAAAGTATCACAGTAAAATAGTAAACCATTGTTTTTCAGTAACATCATGGAAACTGGTTCTACCACAAGGAAAAAAAGGGCTCAATGGACTACGCAACAGATGGAAATCGCTGTTAAAATGGTAGAAAGGGGTATATTATCAACATATGCTGCTGCAGCCAGATACAACATCCCAAGAAGAACCCTACGCAACCATATAAAGAGTGGTTCGACTACACGAAAGCTTGGTCGGTCGGCTACATTGACTACAGAACAATAAGCTGGACTTGTCAGAAGAATCATACGTTTGGCTGATGTTGGAATGCCGATAACTTCAAAGATGTTGCGCGTACAGGCTTTTTCATTCTGTAAAATTAAGAAAATTCCAAACACTTTCAATGATTCCAAGAATGTAGCGGGGAAGAAATGGTTGAGGTTGTTTCTCAAACGACACCCTGAATTAGCACGTCGTAAAGCACAGATGATGAATCCAGCACGTGCTCAAAAATTAAATAATGATATTTTTGGCGATCAGTATTCCAAATACAAAAGCGTGGTGGATAGACTTGGGATTGAACATAAACCTGAAAGCATTTACAACATCGATGAAAAAAATTGTCGCATATCTTTGCACCACCAGCAGGAAGTTCTGACAGCCAAAGGGAGAAAGAGAGTTCATCAAATAGTGAATGAGCATGCTGAAAGTGTGACTGTGGTAGGATGTGGAAATGCTATAGGGTCAGCCGTTCCGCCAATGATACTGTTTAAAGGAAAGAGACTAAAGCCAGAATTCCAAGATAATTTACCACCAGGCTCTCTAAAAGTAAAGATAACGCCAAAAGGAAGTATGACGACAGAAACTTTCATAGACTTTTTTAATCATTTGCATAAATACAGAACATCAGGGCCATGTCTTCTCATATTCGATGGTGCAAAATGCCACCTGAACTTTACTATTGTCGAGGAAGCTGAGAAATGTGGCATTACTTTATATTGTCTTCCGTCAAACACCACGCATGAGTTACAGCCCATGGATAAATCTGTTTATCGTGCTTTTGAACACAATTGGGACCAAGAGCTCATTAAATACATCAGTCAGCATCCCGAACGAACCCTTAACAAAAAAAGCTTCAATGTCATTCTCTCACAAGTATGGCCGAAATGTATTTCGTGTGGGTCTCGAATGGGTTTCGTGCTACAGGGTTGTATCCATATAACCCAGATGCTATACCTGAAGAGGCGTTTGCGCCCTCTGCGTTGTCAGAACTTCCAAATCCTACAAGTAGTGAGAATATTGCTGTCTTATCTGAAGAATCGGGGGAACAAGAGATTTCAACTGCAAATGTGGAAGATTCAGATGACTCAGGCACAGATACTGAGAATTTCCCACTGTCCTTGCTCTCAAAAAACAATCCGAATGCTAGAACTCCACATAAATTAGACAATCAATCAACCACGTGTGAAGTTCATGAATTTTTACCAACTCCTAAGTTTAAAGTTAAAACGACTGCTCCACGCAAGAAGTCTATGAATTACAGGGCTCAAGAGGTAACAAAAGACTTATTTGGTGACAATGCTACGAATTCCATATCACAGATTACTGTACCATCGTCAAGAGTAGAAGATACATTTTTACTGTTCAGGAGATTGTTTGATTTAAAAAAAAGATGAAAAAGGCTGATTAATATAGTTCATTTACATGCTTAGAAACTCGTTAAGTCTGATCTAAAATGACCAAAAGTAATTAATAGGATCTCATTAGATTTAATATGAGTATTAACGACGTTTTGTAATAATAAGAAGTTGAATACTTCTTTGTTTTTATTAAGGCTTTATTAAGACACAGGGTTCCCAATAAGGCCTATATGACATTAATGTTATTTTTGTTCACAAGTGTGATTTTTGTTTCTAAAGCAATTTTGTTATTTTTATTACAAAGTTTAATAAATAAATATAAGTATTTCAAATTACCAGTGCATTTTTATTATAAACCTGCTAGTAAGGTAATAAAAAAATTAAGGTAGGCCTTATTTGGTGACCTTTAGTTAGTTGAATAAATTTCTGTATAAATAAGTAACATTTTTATTTTCACCAAGTTTGAATATGTTGGCAATCATTAAACGTGGAAAGTGTTATAGAAAATATTTCTAAAGGAAAGCGTTTCCTAGATGAATGCCCACAATTTCACTAAGTGGATCACCGAGAAGCTTAACCCGAACCTGCATGAGCCGTCGATCATTGTCATTGACAATGCCCCTTACCACTCTGTCGTCAAAAATAAAGTGCCTACCTCCAACCTCGCGTAGATGAAATAAAACTTTGGCTTATAGAAAATGGTATTGACTTTGATTGAATTTGGATAAAAAAAAATCATCTACATTATCGACGATTGGGATAACTTTTGGGAGAAAATGGGCATACAGTGGTCCGGCTTCCGCCGTATCACATGATTTAAATCCCATAGAACTCATTTAGGCTCAAGTTAAACAAAAAGTAGCACAACACAATGTTGGATTACGGTATGTGAAGAGACTTACTGAAGAGGTCTTCAACAGTATTACACCTGAAATATGGAAAAACTGTTACAGTCATGTTGCGAATCTTGAAAAAGAATATTATGAACGAGGAAGAACCCTTTATCAAGATATAGATGATAGATGCCTTGGCGAAGATAGCAGTACCACCGAAAGTAGTAGCGCAGACGTTAATGATA